CATGAATCTCTTTTTGGATCTGTTGCTGATGATCAGAAGCTCATGATGTAAGTGCGGTAATGTCATCAGAAATGGAGTGCTTCTATCCCTCTTGCTTTCCCATCTGCTCCTTAGTCCCTCAGTAAAATGGGATATAAACCTTTGTTTCAATTCCATGTTTTCCTCTTACAGCTGGGACACTCGGTCAAATAACACCTCCAAACCTAGTCATTCAGTGGATGCTCACACAGCTGAAGTCAACTGCCTCTCTTTCAATCCCTACAGTGAGTTTATCCTGGCTACAGGATCAGCTGATAAGGTACGTCAACTTGAACTTGGAACATACTTGTTTAGTTTCTGATGTGTAAATGTGGATGTATATATTCGTTACTTCAACAAAAAATGTTTTTATGTTTTTTTCCTAGACTGTTGCTCTATGGGACTTGAGGAACCTAAAACTGAAGTTGCACTCCTTTGAATCACATAAAGATGAAATATTTCAGGTATAACAAAATGTCTTTCTTTTATGCACATGGACTTAGTTCTACTTAGCTGTCTGGAAAAAATGAAAAACGTTCTTTTCATTCCACGTTTTTATTAAATGTACTTGCACTTAAAATCTCATATATTCTTTTCTCTCATCTGCTTATACTTTTCTGGCTTATTGTTGTGGAGCTGTGTAGCGCTGTGTGTAGGGTAGAGTTCCAGTACAGATAAGAGCGTCCAGAAAGCCGGGGGCAGAACGTGACAGGGAAATGGTCGAGAGCTTTGACCACAACAGAAGGGTGAAATGCTAGCAGTACAGAGTAAATGTAAATTATTCATGGCAGCAGATTGAAGCAGGGAGGCACAATGAAATGGCTGCAGTGTTTTCATCCTCTCAGCTTGGTCCTGTAGGAAGGCTTTAGCCGGTACCCATTAAAGGGGATCACCGAAACATCCTGTGACAATGAAAAATTGCTAATTTTGCTGGTGTAAATATAGAATGTTAACATCACTGGGTAGCACGTGCTTAGCAGATACAATATTTTCATCTCCAACTCATGCCTTACTCAGGAGAAAAATATGCAGAGATTTTTTTCATCGAAGGATTTATAGTTAAGACTGTAGTTAAGCTAAATAAAATTACACATGGAATCTTGAAATGTCAGGTTAGTGTGCAGAATTTTGTGTTCTTTTCTAATCCTGTGATCCTATTAAGTAGTATGTTTTGGAGAGATTTATCTCCAGCAGAAGTAGTAGATGTGAGCTTTTGGGCAGTTAAGCTTAATTACAGTGATTTCTTCTCATGTGTAAACTGTACCTACTACTTAAGGAATCTGTAGTTTATATTTGTGCTGTCCTTATTAAGGCAAGGAGCAGCTAATATCTTTGAGAGCTGTTAGCACTTCATAACACATGGTCTTTGTTAGAGAAAAGGTTACATGCGGTACCTTTTTGGTGCTCAAATGCCTTGTTAGTGTATGAATGTTCACAAACCTACCTCCTGTGTTAGAATGTTGTTATTGGGCATATTCATATTTCAAGTTAATATCAATTTGAATTCTCATAGAGCTTTCATGACACAAAGTACAGAGGTGTTTGTTGTGAATGTCTGTCATGTTACAGCTTCTTAAAACTAACTTCCTTTCTAAATTCATCTTTGTAGGTTCAGTGGTCTCCCCATAATGAAACTATATTGGCCTCCAGTGGCACTGACCGCAGGCTAAATGTTTGGGACTTGAGGTAAATCCCAAATTAGTTCATGTCCTGACGAAATATTATTGATGAATTGCATCACACTTCAAAAAAACCAAACAAAAAACCCCCCACCTTTTCATTTTTCCTCCCTTTTTAACAGTAAAATTGGAGAAGAGCAATCCCCTGAAGATGCTGAGGATGGTCCCCCAGAGCTGTTGGTAAGTCTTTTGAATCTCATTGTTTTGACTTATTATTCATCTCTGTAATGTAGATTTGAAAACGTTTCCCTTTTTGTTTCCCCAATACTAGTTTATTCATGGTGGTCATACTGCAAAGATATCTGACTTCTCCTGGAATCCCAATGAACCCTGGGTAATTTGTTCTGTATCAGAAGATAATATCATGCAAGTCTGGCAAATGGTAAGTTGTTGGGGAAGGTGCAGGAAGTGGCAGGTGAGAGATGGTGTTGAACTGCCTGGATTTCAGCATTCCTGATTTTATTTACAGCTCTCAGCATGACTTGCTTTGTAGCACTTGCCTAAATCTCAAAGGGATAGTGAAATCCACTTTGGGTTTTGTTGAAACAATGGTTTAAAAAAACTCAGATGTTTTTCTCATGATTTAAAAAAAAGAAAGTATTGGTGAGAACCAAAGATGAAATTGGGGTTTCTGTTAGTTACTGTCTTAAAGAATGAAATCTCTGCAAATTATACAAAATGTCCTCCTGAAGATGGAGAGGGGTGGTGGTGAATGGGAAAAGTTTTCTGACCCTGAATTACCAGCTGTTGAAGGTTTTGGTAAACAATCTTGTATCGTTTGAATAACCTTTTGCAAGACCATTTTCCTAGGTTTTTTTTTTATCTATAAATTGGTTCACAGGGGCTTCGTTCTTAGCAGCCTTCCATATAGTTCTTTCGGACGGTGCTGCTGCTAAGTAGAGGATCTACTGAATGTAGACATAATAGTCTGTTAATTGAAGTAAGTCTTGCAGTGGTCTCTACTTTAAGAAGGCAGATTTCCATAAGCTACAGTAACTTACAGGGTCCTTATGAAATGTTTTGGAGACATGACTGTTATGAAAAAGGTCGTTTGTGGTGCTTCTTTAATGTTAAATGGCCTTGAGGGATCAGGGATGGGTGATACAGATCTGCAGATGAAAAACTTCCACAACTTTTTGTAGTGTTCTAGCAGATGGAATCCTGTTCAATATGGTGGTTAAATGCTTCTTCAGTTCCTCCATCTCTGTCTTGCAGGCGGAGAACATATATAATGATGAAGACCCTGAAGGAAGTGTGGATCCAGAAGGTCAAGGATCCTAGATGACAACCTTTCCCTGTTTTTAGTCTTTTTCCTTCTCTTCCCTCTCGACCCTGATATTGACTTAACACTGGTTTTGAGACACACGTAGACTTTGTGTTCAGCCATCCTTCTGTAGATACCATCAACAGGCTTTTTAACCCAGACAGTGAGTACTCCCTAAGAAAAGGGCTTAGCCCAACTCAGCTGGTACCGTGCTGTAGCTCCTTGGTCAGATTTCCTCCAGCAACCTCTTGCATATAGGACTGGCTGTCCCATTTTAGCTGCCTTCATCACACAGAGCAAACTTGGTTTTGTTGTTTTTTCTTCTTCTGTCTTTAGTTTGCTACAGCTGTGGGCTTTTGCCTAATTTAAACAAAAGTTAAATCGGTAGAGCTGCCAGAGTATGCTTGAGCCAATGGAGATGATACAAGTGTTAATCCGCTGGCAGTTCAGAAATGGAGTGTGGAAGGTCTTGCCCTCTTCAGTACAACTCAGAAGTCTTGGGATTCCTTTAGTTAATCTGCACCTTGTGGATTTTTCTGCCTCTGCAGATACAAAACAGACTTGCAGATTCTGATTTGAACTGAAATTAAATTTCTTTCTGTATTTTTCGTGTCTACTGGTAATTCTGGGTTTTTCATTCCTTCCTTCCTTCCTTTCCCTTTTCTCCCGTCTGCTGGGCGACAGCGGTTTGGATTCGTTAGCTATTCCTGCAGAGCATTGTTCACCTTCCATGTATTTTGCTCTATTGTGTGTTTCTTGAGCTGTGTTTTCACATATATTTCTTTCCTTTCTGTGAAATGGTTTTTAAAACTTGGGGCCACCAAGTTGTAAAGGTGTATGTTTTTACCAACTGATGTACCACAGATGGCATGCCTGGTAACCTAAAACAGCATTGGTAGCTGGTATCTGTAAAGCAAATTAAATGTGGATGAACTACTTTTTTTAGGAGTTAGTCCTTGACCACTAGTTCCTGCACATCTTCCACTAGGGTGTCCTGTTCCACCAGCAACCTGTTACTCTCCATGCTCCTCGTGACTAATTGTGTGTAAGTGCTTCAGATGGAATAAATTTTTTCTACATAAATGCTGTGTAGCTCTGTGATTTTTGTGCGGATGTTTTCCTTCTGCATTAACTACTTTGTTGAGAGCAAAGTGTACCTTTTCAGAAAGCAGAGAAAGCAGGGACATAGTCTCTACCTAGATATGTCCTACGGTGCTGGTATAGATATTCCTTCGTTTGTAACATGTGGACGCTTCTCCCCTTCTTGTTTCTGCTGCTTTCTTTGTGAAATGAGTGAATGAGTACTTAATATCCCCAAGCAGTCAAGAATGCACTGCAGTGTGCCTTCCACCTGGAGTGTGCTGCTGTCTGGATTTTGGGACTGCCTTTAGCCCTTACCACAGAACTATTTTTTTTGTTAGTCTGCAGCATGAATAATCGGATATCTTACACGTACACACAAGCTTGTTATTTTCTCTTTGAGACGCAGCTTTGAGAATTAAAAGGATCCTGAAACCTCCGACCTTTATTTTCAGTGTGAGACTTTATATAAAGTGGAAACCTGTTATCCACAAACTAGTTTCTGTGGCCCACAGTGGAGCATGTCACAATACAGCAGAGACCCTTGAAATACAAAAGAAAATCCCATTAAAAGGGTAAAGCTTCTCTTGCATGTAAACTTTAAAAATTAAGCCCCCTAACACTGGCTTCCAGAACAATACTTCCTGTGCAGGTTTCACAATCCACCTATGGAACAAGACAAGATATATTTTCCAAACACAGCAAAACATACATCTGTTATTCTTCATAAATGTCCATTGTTCAGTGCAAGTATCATTTTCTCTGCTCCTCTGTGGAAAAGCAGTTTTACTACATGATTAACAGCAGCACCTTGAGAAATACACGCAAGCAAATGATTGTCTGGTATTCCTGACTTCGGGCAGCTGCTGTGCATCAGGTAGGGTAAGCAGCAAGAGGAGTCGTCCCCTGCAGATCCCTCTGTCCTTTACTTTTGCTACAAAGAGGAAAAGTCCATCCTTCTAACAGTCCTGGTCTGCTTTTTCTTCCGATTTGCAAAGGTGTCCGTAGATTTCTAGGCAGCTCCTGTAGGGGTAGAAAGTAAAGTTAGGCTACTGAATACATAAAGTACTCTGGATGGAGAAAATGGGGAAGGGGGACAGATGGTATTTCTGAAAAACATTCTTTCTTTTCACAGTATGGAAGAAAAGTCATTAGGAAACACTTAAACTGGCTCAGTACCTGGTCTTGTGAGCAGGCGGACCCTGCCCAGCCCTTCCAGAGCCCTTGGCAAACAAACTAGCTTTAACAGAAGGGAATGTAATTTTTGGTGTGAGCTACGGGAGACAGCAGTTCGGAGCCGTACTTAACTCTGAGGTCCCCAGTGCAAATGTGAAACTTAATGAGGTGTCCTGACACATGAGAAGCCTTGCACACTATCGCTTCCAGGGACGGCAATTTGTAGATTGCTGGGAGTTAAGAGACTGCGCTGCTGCGCCCAGGCTTAAATATTGGTCTGTGATTTAGACGTGATTTAGAAGGACCACAGGCAGCAAAGACGTGGGGGTGGTGGGATCTGGTCTGAATCGTAAATGCAGTTCCTCTTGTGAATACATCTTGGAATGGCTGGTGACATGACAGGCTGAAACAGAGATCTCTTCCCCTGTGCTTACCATGCTAAAGTCTTACCTGAATAAAAGAAAACTAAACCTATTTGTGGTAGGGAATATCTCCCGTGGTGCACTTGCATGAGGAGGTTTGAGTGGAGAAGGGGAAAAAGGAATACCAAAGTAACAGAGAGGCTATGGAAAATGGTTAAGAGTGTGTACAGCTGAGATTGGAGTAACACAACAACACAAAGTTTGGTGAGTAAAATAGTCCACAAGCTTATGGACATTTTCTGGAGCTTTGAAAAATCCTGTGTCATAAAGAAGACCTGAGTGGAAGCTGCAGCAGAGAGTGATAAGCAGAAGACAGTTCTCTCTCATTGAAGAGCATCCACAACGGTGTTTGCCAAACCTAAACCTCAGCTCCTTTCCACATATTCCTAAGGAAACCAGCACTTTGTTTTAAGTTGCCATGCCTGCTTCTTGGAAACCTCCACTCCTCGTGTACAGGAATTTCCACCAAATCCCTATTTGCTGGATGGCAAAAGGTCTGGAGTTCCCGCTGTGCTGCCCCACCAAACCCCTTGCTCACACTCCGGCCACGTGCCCGGGGACCAGGAGCAAAAGCCCATGGTGTCCAATCGCTGTGTGACCATCAGCCTCTCTTCTCCACCACCCTCCTCCTCCCAGCCCCTACCCAGCCCCTCCGCACCACAGGGACGAGACACAAACGGACTTGTAGATGGAGAGCTCCTGGTGGAGGCTGGTCCTCAGCTCCTCCAGTTCCTGATTCTTGCGCTGCTGGAGCTGGACCCCGTTCTTCAGTTCCTTCAGCCTGTCTTCCAGCTCCTCAACCTGTTCCTGGGGAGCAAGAAGACAAGAGTGGATTAGGTGGGGGAAAAAGGCTGTCTCAGTGCCCACGCTCAGCTCCTGGCCACGCTCTCATGGGGGATCTGCCTGTCGATGGTGTTGGTCTGGACAAAGCACAGCCAGGCTGATAGCTGGCCAAGCTATCTTAAAAGCTATCTTAAAAGCTGTCTTAAAAAACCTCTGCAAAAAAGCTTTGTTTTATTGCAAAGGTAGGAGCTTGGGCTGCGATGTGATGCGTTGGGTCCTTAGGTTTCTCTTGGCTGGTTGGTTTTGTCCCCTACACTACTTTGTGTGTGTTTTGAGAAGCTGTCAGAACAGTATAAACCTATGAGTCAGGAGAAGATAAACAAGGGATTTGGGAAAAAGAAAATGTGGAGGCACATCAGGGATGCCCCAAAGTCCTGTCCTCCAAGGGACAGCGGACCTTGAAATCCAAGATGAGCAGTGTCACGGGTGCTGGTGACCTGGTCCCCAGCTCAGCAGGGAGGAGAAGCGATGGAGGGGGGATGCTGGCTTCCAGAAGCTGCTCAGAGCCAGGCTGGGAGGAGGCAGCGATTGGGAGCCGAGAACAGGGAGTGTTGAAACGGGGGAGATTAATTGTGGAGCCTCTTTGCCAAATGTGCTTTTGTAGATATTGAATTGCCTTGTCCCTCAGGACAAGGTGCCCGGGAGGGGACGCCTAGCGCGGCCAGAAATAACCCTCTGGGGAGGCAGCCCGGCCCCTGGGCTGCGGGCACAGGAGGTGAGACCCTTCCTGGCAGTGGGAAAGGCAGGATCTGCTCCTGCAGGGCTGGGCTGTTAAAGAAAAGCCACCTTTATTTAAAACTGACTTTT